GATCTGATAAAAACATGATAAGAGTCGAAGTCTGCTATCTCGATAAAAGTATTTTAAAAAGTACACTTTATGAAAGTACATGTTGTTCCGCATATATTAGGGTATTAGATTTGACTTTTATCATTGATAAGAAGTCGATATGAGTTACCTGCTTGTATATAAGAAGTACATGTATGGTTAAAGGTTAGTATCAGCAAAGTTTTCTGTCCATAAATATTTCGCTGATGCTCATATTTAACTCTAGATGTGCTTCCGATAGACAAGTCGTGTAAATCCTATCAGCTTCTCATTAATGATAAAAATAAAATGCATTGCACTAATATATGCACGACAACATGTACTTTCATGCAGTGTATATTTTAAAATACTTTATCGAGATCGTAGGTTTCTATTCTTATCATTTTGAGTGCTGTGATCCTATTTTGAAGACAGTCAATTAGCTGAGATGAATAATAAAAATTTTCTTATATATTTATTCAAATTTTTTTTTTCGTTTTCTATTATTTGATAAGAAACTATAATAAGATATAAAACTTGAAGAAGAAAAAGAAAAAACCTCAGATCTTAAATTTTTCTTTTTAGAAACAAAAGAATGTTACGTACGAGACGTGAAGTCGTACCATTTAATCAAATTCAAGGTATTACATCAACAAATGTTTGTGCTTATTCAAATGGTGGTGATCATTTTTTTTCTGTTGAACGTAATTATTATCATGGAATATTTTTGGGTTTTAAATGGGAATGTATTGAATTTGCACGTCGATGGTTATTAATGTCTAAAAGTTGTATTTTTCCAAATATACTTCATGCTGCTGATATATGGAATCAATTACGGACAATTGAACGTGTTACTGATGGAAAACAAATTTCATTAACATTACATTTCAATGGTTCCTATGAAAAACCTAAACGTGATTCATTACTTATTTATCCACGTAGTTCAGCATTACCATTTGGACATATTGCTATTATATGTGATGTTATATCCGATTATATACGTGTAGCTGAACAAAATTATGAATATTATAATTGGTCGGATAATTATTCTCGTCAAATTCCACTAATATTGAAAAATAATCGTTATTATATTGATGATGAACATGAAGTATTTGGTTGGATGACTATTGAAGATAGTGAAAATTTAGAACCATTAGATGAAACAAAACTTGATTTAATTTTAAAACAATATCAACAAACAAATTCTATTGGAACATTAGAACGTTGTATAGTACCAAATAAAAATTCTCATTTAACATTTTCATGGTTAAACGAAAATGATAAAGCTGAAAATTTATTTATGAATTTATATGGAAATGATTTAATACGTACAGATACAAATACATTACCTTACTATAAAGCTAATCAAGATTTATTATTAAATATAGGTGGTGTATCAAATGAATTACATCAAATGTTTCTTAATGCAACAAACTATGTATTAAACAACGATGATTTATTAAAAAAATTTTGTATACCAGAAATTTTTTGGTCAAAAATTCGTCAATCATGGTTAAATGAAAAATATTTAACAATGACTGGACGTTTTGATTTAGCATTTAATGGTAAAGAAATAAAAGTATTTGAATATAATGCTGATAGTGCTGCAGCTTTATTTGAAACATCAATCATACAAGAAAAATGGGCACAAAAACTTAATTTTGAACGTACATTTATGTCTGGATTTCAAATACATCATATTTTAGTTAAAAATTGGAAAAAATTTTCTTCTATTGAACGTGTACATATTTTAATTGATGAAGATCAAGAAGAATTATTAACAGCATATTATATGCAAAATATATTAAAAGACGCAAATATTGATTCAAAAATATGTATTATGACAAATGATTTATATTGGAGAGATTCTAAAATAATTGATAATGAAGGTTATAATGTTGAATTAGTATGGAAATTATGGATGTGGGAAACAATTTTTAGTAATTATATTCAATGTGAAAATGAAGGAAATTTAAATAGAAAAATAAATGGTGAACATCCATATCTTTGTCAAATTTTTTTAAATGATCATATTAAAATTATTGAACCATTATGGAAAGTAATACCAAGTAATAAAGCAATATTGCCTATATTATGGTTATTATATCCAAATCATCCAAATCTTCTACGTAGTGAATACGTATTAACAAATGATTTAAAACAAGTACCTTTTGTTAAAAAACCAATTGTTGGTCGTTGTGGTCATAATGTAACATTATATGATGTTAATGGAGATTCTGTTATTGATGAAACAAAAGGTAAATTTGTTGATAGAAATTGTATATATCAAGAATTATTTTCATTAACAAATTTTGATGGTTATTATCCTATTATTGGTAGTTGGATAGTACATGGTTTATTTGGTGGTTTTGGAATACGTGAAGATAAAAAATTAATTACAGACGCCGATAGTCCAGTGACTGCTTGTTGTATTGTATGGAAATGAACATACAATGATGTTAGATAAAACAAAAAAAAAACTTCATTTTTTTCGTTATGTATTTAATAATCTAAACACTTTTTTTATGTCAAATATTAAATACTGCTAAGATTTCGTGCATATCGCACGATTGTTTTTAATATAGGTAAAATGAAAATTTTACTTATGATTTACGTTAATAGACAATTCTACTATATCTATGGGAACGATACAAAAAGAAGGAGAGCTAGTATTGACAAGCATCGAATGAATATAGTTTCATTTGTTGTTGTAACAAGAACAACTTGTAATATTGAAATACGATCACCGGAGTTGATTAGATATGTGTAGAACCATATAATTTTAGTTTCGACTTAGAGAAAACTATTGTAGAATTTATTCGTATTAAATCTAAATGTCTCGTTCAACTGATGTAAGTATTCAGATCGAAAAAGACATAATTTCCCGCACCACCATGATACACTTTCACGACTTTAGAAATTTTTAAAAAACAAAGTTAATAAGAATTCTATGACTGAATAATAACGAATCATGTCAGTCATATTCTATTGCGTCTTTCCTTTTTTTGACAATAAATTTAGCCTTAAACAGAAAACAAATAGAGAGAAGAAAGTTAATGGTAGGTACTCTATCCAGAAAAATGGAGATGATAAGAAGAACAGAAGGTATGCTATATGTTTGTCTTGCAAATATGAACTAATAGCGTAATTATTAAAGAACAGTAATGAATTTTACTGAATAAGACTGTAATTTTTTATTCAAATAAAAAGTACATTGATATTTATTTTCTTGGCGATGTTGCATTATTTTCGAATTTGATTCAATATTATCGTTTTTAATTATTCATTTATGTTGTGATTTTTGTTTATTTAATCCAAGCTTTCTGTCTTTGTTATAAATTGTTCCACATTCACATGTTATCTGGTAAATATTCAATTTCGATTTCTGTTCAATTGAATTCGTGACTGCTGTTTGAATTTTATTATGATAAGAGAAAAATGTTTTCATTTTTAATTGTTCTAATATCCGTTTTAGTACTTCTATTCCATATCAAAACGGTAATGTAATTTGATATTTCATTTCTTTTATTTTATCATTTTATTTCTTTTCTGTTTTCATTTGTTGCTCCCAAGATTGAAAGGATAGGGTCTAGAAACTATAATTCACCTGTGTCTGTTTGTCCGTCTGTCTGTCTGTCTGTCTGTCTGTAACACTTGGTACAAGTGACCATTTTCATGGTACAAAGTACCATATTCGTTGTACAAATGACCATTTTCATGGCACAAGTGACCATTTTCGTGGTACAAGTGACCATTTTCATGGTACAAATGACCATTTTTATGGCACAAAGTGCCATTTTCGTGGTACAAACGACCATTTTCATGGTACAAATGACCATTCTCATCGCACAAGCGACCATTTTCGTAGTACAAACGACCAATTTTTATGGTACAAATGACCATTTTTATGATACAAATGACCATTTTTATGGCACAAAGTACCATTTGTGTGGTACAAATGACCATTTTCATGGTACAAAATACCATTTACGTGGTACAGTGACCATTTTCATGGTAAAAAGTACTATGGGTCGTGGTGCATGTGACCACTGTCATGGTGCAAAGTACCATACTAGTTGTGTAGGTGACTGTTTTCGTAGTGCAGAGTATAATCTGTCGTGGTAACAGGGGCCATTTATTCGGCATAATTGTTCATTTTTGTGGCTAAACTCAGCTTTCATGGTGCTATCAACCATTTCGATGTCATAGTTGATACTTCTTACCGCCAGGATGAACAAACCTTTGCCATAAGTAGCTATATCCATATTAGAAACAGCCAGTACTATGGCATAAGCCAGCATTCCTAGTCATTACAAGCAACAAAGGTATATTCTTTATCGTATACAATAGTATCTTTCAATGTTTCAGGTCCACCGTTTTGACTATATCTATAGTATGTGAAATACAACATTTTGCAAGTATTAATGTGTCCTAAATTCATCATTAAACAATAAATTTTTACTAAAATACATAAGGACATCTGTGTCATCATTCCGTCAGTCTAGGGGCCAGTGAATCAACATGCAATGTTGATGAATGTTACTTGTAGTTTTAATGTATTTCATATTTTTTTAATATGTTTATCGATAACGTCTGTTGAATACTTTGACTTTATTAGAATTGTTTTAATTTTATTTAAATGATCTTGTCGGTTGTTATTATTATTTGTTGTCTCAAGTATTTTGAATGCCATGTTTTTAATAATATTTACTTAAATAGATTGTTCATGATCTGATTATAGTTCAATATCCTGTATAATGCTGTATGTTTCTTATACCATCTGACACTAATCGTATTATCATCGTTTTTGGATGACATGATGTCAAGGAAATTAATGGTTTCGTTTTTTTTCATATTCATAAGTGCACTTATTTTTAATTTTATTGAGACCTTTTACATATGATGTACCTTGTTCTTTGTCTATCTCAGTTATTATGAGAATGTCGCCGATGTATCTCCAAAATTTAAAAGGTAAGTTTGCTGTCTCTATATTTTTCATTATGTGTTCAGCCATGCAAAGATCAGCCAGAATATGTGACAAAGTATCACCTATGGATAAACGTTGCTTTTGTTACTAACATTTCCCATTAAATTGGCAATAATTATTGTTTAATGACAATAAAAATATTTGTTTTAGGTCCGTTTTAGCTAAATTCGATGTACAGAAATTCTCCGAATTACCTATTCTGTTTAGAGTTATATCAATAGCTCTTGAAGCAGGTTTGCTTGTAAATAGATCTTGTACATCTAAACTTATTAAGTAATCATCTTGATCCATTTTGATTGTAAATTATTTCATGGATGAATTTAGACGTGTTACAAATTAAATAATTAATTTGATCTCTTAATTGTTCAGTGAATGAGAATACGTACCTTGATATAGGTAAAAGAATTATATTTCGTGCACTTGTTATTCATCGCACAGATGGAACCGGTCTACCTTTTTTCAGACCGGTACTGGTCTGGAGAAAGGTAGACCGGACCGTACCGGTCTGACTGATCTACCGAAAAAAACCGATCAGACCGGTTCACCGGTCTAAACCAATCTACCAGTAGTGAACAGGACACTGATGATACGCCAGTTTATCAGGAAAACTCGACCTATCGATAAAATATCGATCTACAGACAACAGATTGAAGCTTAAAATGAAATCTTGTGCAGTGAACTCTCTGGTGGGTTACCTTCGTACCTTGAACACAATCATAGAGTAGGAAAGTGAAAAATATAGACCAGTATAGACCGGTTTGAACTGGTAGACCAGTAGACCGGTCAGACCGGTCGATCCAAAATCCAGACCGGTACCGGTTTCATCTCTGATTCGTCGTATATGACAATCTTCTTTATGCACTTTAGGTTGTCCTCTTATTCTCGATAGACCAGTGATTGATGAAAATTCATTTTTCATGTTATGATTAGTTCAATTTGATTTAAATAATTTGTTGGTAAGTGCTTCTATTTTCATCTTGATCATACTTGTTGGTCCTTTTACTTTTTCATACACATACTAATCACCGTTCAGTTTTTCTTCAATTTTGTTTATATATTCTTGCCGATTCATTACTATTGCTTTTCCTTCTTTTTCAGCAGGCATTATGATTATATTCTTCATGTTTTTTAATTCTTTTAGTGTTATTTGTTCATTGTTGTTGAGGTTTTATTTTTTAGCTGTTTCCCATCGTTTAATGAATACATTGATTTCGGAGATGGCTAATTATTTCATTATTGGTGGTACTGAACATAATTCATATTCAGCATGCGTTATTATCTCAATTAAATTTATTCATTTAGATGCTGTAGCGAAATTCAAACTTTTTAATAAACTTGCAACTAATCACTTTTTAATTTAACGTTGGACTAATTTACGATATTTGTTGTGCCTATTGTCATAACTGATGATATTATTTGTTTTTTTTCTTGTTTATGTATTCAGTTTACACCCTGTTTGTAAGGCCTTTTAGCTAGGATTTAATTCATGTATATGTTTAAAAACTTTTCTTCTCTTGCTATTTCAATATTGATAGATCTTTGTTGTTTGAATCTTCATTCTAACATATTGTTTGTGATTTTGATCGTAATATTCATTAACACTTTGTTATTTTTGTTATGTTTTTGTTTGTCATGTTGTTTAAGTGCATTTCATTAGGAATTACACCTTCTTTTTTTAAATTGCTTTACAAATACCATATGCTAATTTATTTTCATTAATCGTTGGTGTCATTTTTCCACATTAAACGCGATTTCATATACTCTCGTATTACAAAGATTATTAAATTCGTTTCATGTAATCAGGAAGGATATACTAATTAATTAATTAATTAATTAATTCTCGTATATTAAGTTTTACACTTCTCTATAGATTTGTATGATTTTATTTAAAAATTAAATATTATAAAAGAATTAATTTATTCAATTATGATATTTATAGAATAATCATCTGAATAATGATTAATGACGCAATATTCCGACAAAAACAGTTGTCTTCTTCAGACGAGTAGAAATGTATGACCTTTTCTATTTAAATTCTTTATCCTACTAATAGAATTTTTAACTTGATTTTTTTCTATGACTAGCACAATTAATTATATTTCAGATATAATGTTTTGTAATAGGAAAATTTAGTATGTCGGAGTATGATTGAATCACTTAATTTTAAACAACAGTAATGCATAAATATTTTCAAAATGATCCAATACAAAATTCTAAATCAAGTAATCACTTTTCAATCTGATAACACCAAATCTTGAGTGCGATTATAAGCAGAAACTAGTATATGACTCATGCCATCGATATGATGAACCATTCTGAACAATCAAACGCATAAAATAAAACAAAAATCATTTTGTTTAAGAAATCAGGTGATAAATGGAAAAATCCTTTATTTGGTTCTGTTTGGTGTCAGTCTGCTTCGTAAACACTTATACCACCTCAGGTCGACAAATGTGGAA